CACACACACACACACACACACACACACACACACACACACACACCAGACAAATCCATTGTAAATCCAAGTACAGAGTTGGCAAGCAAAAAATTATGAGAACTTTTTTATGGGGCATTCTGGGAAGAAAAACCATTTTAGGGGGGAATATTACCCTTTATACTACTTACCTTTGACAGTTAAATTGAAGCAACCAAGCCTGTCACCAGATAATGAATCTGCACCACACTGTAATACTACGGCACTAGGCTGATACATCTCCATCACTTTTGAGATTATCTAGTCACAGAATAACAAGTATTAGTATCTAAGAATATTTTACACCTCCATCTCAATTTCAAAAACAATACTTACAGGCTTAAATATCTGCCCATATGACTCATCATCTATACCGTCTCTCATGGGAAAATTGACAGCATAGTATTTTCCCTTTCCAGCACCAATATCCTAAAATACAAAACAGACCTTAGAGTCTATTTCATAATAAAAAAATAATAAGAAAAAACTTGACATATATTTTGAAAAGATAAAAAGACCAAATAACAAACCCAACTTTTAATAAATCTTAAAAGATGGGAAATAAATATAAATTGAAAAAAGTAAACAAATGCATGTTCCAAATATTTGTAGACTACTCACAAAGCCTAAAAGAACTATTTGCAATTAAGCGCTAATGGTAATTTTTAGAGAAGACACTTAACACCAACATGAATTTAACAAAAACAATTGTAGGGTTGGACCAGTGAGATGAACCATAATGCCATAGGGTAAAGGTAGTTACTGCCAAGCCTGATGAGCTGAGTTCAATCACTGAGACACACATGGTAGAGAGAAAACAAGTTGTTCTCAAACAAGGTACACACATACAAATAAACAAAAATCCAGTTTTGTTTTGTTTTTTTAAAAGATTTATTGCCAGGTGTGGTGGCACAAGCCTGTAGTCCCAGCACTTGGGAGGTAGAGGCAGGAGGATCTCCAGTCCAAAACCAATGCTTAAAAAAAAATTATCACCAGAAGAAATGTCTTTAGGTAAAAATAATAAAAAACTCATGCTGCATAGGTAATGCAGATACTTCTAGTTTTTCTGTCAATAGGCAAAATCAAGCACCCAAAACCTTCAGCTCCAATCATCTATTCATGGCTTACTGCTAGACTGTCTTTCTAAAAAAAATTTTTTTTACTTATGCATATGTATGTCTCCCTGTATGTGTATGCCACATGTGTGCAAGTCCACAGAAATCAGAAGAGAGCACTGGATCCCCTAGAGCTGAAGCTCTCTTACCACTGAGACATCTCCCTAGCCCCTGGAATTTCATTTTCATTCCTTCTTGATGGATGATTGAACGGGATGATGGTTGAGACAGAAAGCTACATTTACTCTGCCCCGCCTGGTTCAGCCTCAAGCTGAGGGATCCTAACTAGTGGGTTTGCTGCTTTCATCTTCTTGCCACCTTATGGTGTAGGGTTCTCCTGACACATCAGTAACCAAAGCTGGGACATCAACACTAACATGGCAGCTAACCTTGGGGGTCTTATCACATCTCCTTGGTATTTTTTGTCCTCTTCATTGCTGTACTCTGTGGGGCATGGTCCTTGATGAAGAAAGCTACTGTTAAATTGTGGTCTATGACCCCACTTATATACTATCTCGCCAGTCTACTGAGTTTTCCTATACCCTGGTTCTCAGCCCTGTCCTTCACTTCTCCCTGCACAGGAGGGTTGAACACCAAGGTCAATGCCCATAGTCTCCACATGTAAGCTGGAAACCTCTGCCCATGCTAGGACAGGCAGGACTGGCACTGTTGGGCTTGGCTGTTGAAACCCTCTGTCCTTCATTCTTTTCCCCACTCTCACTGCTCTGGTGAGGATCCCTACAACAGACAGTTATAGTCTTTACTCTCTTGAGCTGAACTCCAATATGGCCTATAATGTTCATGCTTCTAGTGGGGCTGCTCAGGGCTCTCTGAGGTCTGTTTTCCATCTTTTATTGAGATCTGTTCTTCAGTAATTTTTGTTCGTATTTGTTGAAAAAGTAACTTCAGATACTAATATCTCCCTGCAAAGAGTTTATTGAAAAAATACCACCTTGGGGTCAGATAAAGTGCTCTTAAACTCTGCTTGGTACAAAGTGGCATGCCATAGTTGGAAAAACAACTTTAATAGGATAATGTGGAACTAAAATTCAACCCCATGAGAGAACACCACCTTTTGGTCAAATAAAGAAAAGTCATATCTATAAAGAATGCTTTATGGCTATACTTTTAACTTTTCTTGCTAAACTGTAATAACATAACATAAACAGAAAAATAACCTTCGTAATAATAGTGGTTCAAAAGAACTTAAAGCAAAAACTTTCAATGAGTGTGTAAAAGACAAATTAGTAGAAACAGGATACAAGAATTTCCCCATTTATAATCTACAAAGACATCAAATTCAAAAGGCTTAGAAAAATACAGAAATTAAATGCACAGTACGTAATAGACAGTCAGTGTTAAGGTATGATATTCTTTCTCTACAAATGATACATACTATTAATTTCAAAAGCCTCAGAAAAAAAGATCAAGTGAAGACTAAGGAGGGCAACAGAACCTATAAAAACTTGTTTTCTTCTACTTGTCTTTAAAACAATAACAATAAGGACTGACACTGGGTAAGTGCTGCATGTTCCCTGGATATTCAAAAATATCTGTTCAACCGAAGAAAATAGTCAAGCCATAATATTAATAAAAAGTTCTCACTTGGGGACTGGAGAGACGGCTCAGCAGTTAAGAGCACCAGCTGCTCTTGTGGAGGAACCAGGTTCAGTTCCCAGCACTCACATGGTGGCTAACAACCATCTGTTACCTATAGTTCCTGGGGATCTGATGCCCTCTTCAGACATCCACGGGCATTGCATGACATGGACATATGCATGGCACTTATACACATGCACTCAAAAGCCTCATAAAGTTTTTTAAAAAAAAAGTTCTCACTAAATTTTTCCTTAAAACTCACAGAAGTGAAATTCTGGCAGATATGGCATATGAAGTGATTTAACTTTGCCTGTAAGTTTCAAACAATCCAGCCCAGCATGGTGGTGCACGCCTTTAATCCCACCACTTGGGAGGCAGAGGCAGGCAGATCTCTGTGAGTTTCAGGGCAGCTGGGGCTACAGGGAGACCCTGCCTCAAAAAAAGACAAAAAAAAAAAAAAAAAAATTAACAATCCAGGAAAATATTAGTTCAAATATAGGCAGAGTAACCTTCTATGCTCATCTCATATTTATTCTGCCAAAATTTAGTCTTACCCTCAAGTCTCCTGTGCCAGGAAAGTATTCTCCATATTTATGGAATGAAACTGTCATCACCCGGTCTGTTGTGTAAAAAGCTTCCTCAACACCATCACCATGATGGATATCTATATCAATATATAAGACTCTCTGATGATACCTGGAAACAAAGCCAGAAGCATATTTATCTTTATCTATCTTTATGAAGCCTATGCTGTTCTATATGCTTTAAATACAGTGTTATACATTTCTATACATTAACAACTAAAGAGCATACCAAATGTTACACTAGTAAATCTCAGCACTATACAAGTCATTTGTGTTTTAGCATTAGACTAAATTGAGTTTTGCTTTTTTTTTTTTTCTTTTGGGTTTTTTGACAGTTTCATTCTTGTTAGGTTGGCCTCAAAATTATCCGCCTTCAAAGTGCTAGGATTATAGGTGCAGATCAGCACACACCAGTTTTCAGTGGTTCAAACATAAAATCAGACCCAGGCATGGTGGTGCACACCTTTAATCCCAGCATTTGGGAGGTAAAGATAGAGGTGGATCTCTGTGAGATTAAGGGCAGCCTGGTCTCATAGTGAGTTCTAGGTCAGCTGGAGATACAGCAAGTCCTTGTTTCAAATAAAAGTAAAATAAATAAAACAAAACCAAGGATATTGTATTAATATATGACAGATATGTGACACTCAAACTTCTATGTCCATAAAGTTTTACTGAAACATAACCACATTTATTTATTTATTTATATGTTACCGATGACATCTTTTAATCCTAAACTTAAAACTGGGTGACTGCGACAGAAATATGCTACTCTCGTCACTTCACACTGACGCTTGGTGCACTACAGAGCAATGACAGCATAAACTCGAATGCATGGTAGGAGTCACTTCTTCACATCACGACAGTATTAGCTCCATACCCACATCAAAAAACAAAAAATGGGCTGGAGACCTGACTCAGTGGTTACGGTCATTGGCTGCTTTTGCAAAGGACCAGGGTTCAATTCCCAGCACTCACATGGTGGCTAACAACCATCTCTAACTCCATCCAGTTCCAAGAGATCCAATGCCCTCCTTTAATCCCCAGCATGCAGGACACAGAAGCAAGCAGATCTCTGTGTGTTCAAGGCTAGCCTGTTCTACCTAGTAAGTTCCAGGACAGCTAGGGCTACAGGAAGACCCTGTCTTAAAAAGAAAAAATTAATTAATTAAAAAAACCACAAAAAACAAAACCAAAAGCCCCACAAAAGAACCCCCCATTTAAAGTAGCAAACTGAAGATTTGGTGATCGCATCAGATGTTAAAATTATTAAAAATTGGCCTCTCAGAAAGTATATGAGGGGAAATTTGTAAGAAAAAAATTTCCAAAGCCTAGAAAACACAAATTCAGTTAAGTCCCAAGTATAATCTGCTAAAACATTCCAGTTGAAAGTGAAATAATCTTAACTCTGTAAATCTCCAAATTCCTAAGTGCCTTCTATTCTCTCAAATACCAGTCAAGGCCAAACTGAAAAATCACTCCTTCAGCCATCAGACATAATTTTATTAGTAGAGTTAATAAAGCCTTATTTAGATGTAGAAACTAGAGGGCTTGTTAGGCTCATTAAATTGGTCAACAAATTTCCGTTAACATAGGTTTCAAAGTTTTGTCTTCAAGTTCAAACTTACTAAATGTCAGAATACAAACTTGAAGAGTCCTATCAATCTTTTTGTTGTTGTTTTGAGACAGGGTCTCACTGTATAACCCTGGCTGGTCTAGAACTCACTATATAAATCAAGCTAGACATGAACTCAAAAGATCCAAATGTCTCTGCCTCCCCAGAGCTGGGATTAAAGTCCTACAGCATTAGGCAACCAACCCTCACCAATCTTTTTTATTAGCCACAAATAGAACTCAAATCTAAATAACCAATCTATTTATAACATTCTTAAGAAAATATTTTTAAGACTTTCATGCATGAATATTGTATTTACATCATTTCCACACCTCCCTCTCTCCCCTCTGATTCTTCCTCCATAGGCCCCAATTCTCAATTTCTTGACCTCTTAATTATTACTGTTGTTAAACATATACCTATGTGTACGTACATCAAACACACACACACACACACACACACCACATCACGACAGTATTAGCTCCATACCAACATCAAAAAACAAAAAACAGGGGCTGGAGAGATGGCTCAGAAGTAATGGACCTGAGTCCATTTAGTGGTGCACACATGTACATGTGTTTAGGGCTGACCACTCAGGACTAGATAACCTATCACAGAGCTTGTCCTTGGAGAAAATCTAGTCCCGTTCACATGTCTCTGGGGCTGTCAATCATATTCCCATCATGTCTAGAAGATACTACGGAGCAGCAGGTATCCTAGTCCTCTGGCTCTTATAATCTTCCCACCCCCTCTTCCTGATGTTCCCTGAGTCTTAGGTACAGAGGTTTCACTTTAGATGAACCACCTGGTGCTGGGCACCCCCTGGTCACTTATTCTCTACATACATTTTCACCAGTTGTGGCTCTGCAATTATCTCCATCTGGTACAAAAAGAACCCTCTTTGATGATGGGTGAGAGCTACACCTATCTGTGGCAAACTACTAATGATTTCTAAAAGGCTATTTAATGATAGTTTAGACATTTTTGCCTATTTCTTACTCTTAGAACAGTAGTGGGCAAATTTCCTGTATTTCTGTATGGGCTGTAATGAGTTCATAGAAGACTCAGCATTAACCTATTATGATTTATTCAAAAAATCGTTAAGAACATTGATTTTTTTATTTTTATCTTAATTAGGAGATGTTATCATAGGAAAAATATGAATGCAAAGTAACTTACTTTAATAACTCAAGGATGGCAAGCACAATGTCATTAACGTAACAGAATCCCGATGCTTCTGATTTCTTGGCATGATGCAATCCTCCAGCCCAGTTAACAGCCATATCAGTTTGCTGCCGGTTTAACTTCACAGCCCCAGCTAAGTAGAAGAGACATGTTAAGGTATTTGTTAAACATAACAGTCCTATACATAAAACCCATTAAATATGCCCTATGTAAGCAAAAGAGAATTTACATTAAAAAGCTAAGGATTATTGTTTAGGACTCTAAAGCTTTTCCCAAGATAATAATTTTCCTACGAAAATGATTATTTACCCAATTAAATAGCAACATGTGGAATGTTGTAACAAAAATGGTAGAAAAAAAAGAGGGAAAAAAGAAATACAGGAAATTAAAAACATGTTTTAAAGTGATGATTGTTAAACATATGGGTTTTAAAGACAATTACACTTGCTTGTTTGGATGTGGAATATCTCTCAAAGGCCCTTTGACCAACCCCTAGTCATCAGGGTGCTGCTATGGGGAGGAGATGGAGTAGGTGAGAGTTGAGGCCTAGGGGGAGTTTTACTTTACTGGACGCATGGCCTTGAAGAGGATATGCCCCCTTCTGCCATGAGGTAAATGGGTTTTTTCTCCCACGTGCGCCCACCATAATGTAGTGTCACAGTCCCAACAGGATCAATCATGGACTGAATACTCGAAAATTATGAGCCAAAATAAGCCTATCTTTTTCAGAGTTATCGCAGGTATTTTGTTACACTGAAGAAGACTAACAACACTGTAACACAATCCTATAATCCCAGCACTTGGAAGGCTAAGGCAGGAGGCCTGCCACGAGTTTAAGGCCAGTATGGGCTACACAGTGAGCTCCAGACCAGCCTGGTATACCAAGTGAAACCTTATTTTTTTAAAAAAATCCACAAACATCTACAAGTAGCTGGAAAGCAGAGGCAGGAGGATTTTGAGTTCAAGTCCTGCCTGGGTGACAGAGTTGATACTCTTGTCTCAAAAAAGCAAAATAAAATAAACCCCACTACCATTAAAACATTTGCTTTAGAGAAAAACTACAAAGGCACCATAACCACCTCCAGACCAATGTTCAAATGTGACTGACTTAAGGCACTTACCAACTGAGCCACCAGTGGAGAGCTGACAAAACTCAAAGAGTCCATCAAATACTGGGCAATCTTCTCCAACATTAACTGTGGGAGACATTGAAATTCAACCCATTATGCAAATGACTGAAAGCTTTTTCTTAAAAAATATTTCTTACAAATATTTATGTTTAATGCAACCATAAAGCATACTTTCACTGTAATAATACAAAATCTGCAATTTTAAAATACAATTCAGTATTTTATTTAAGATACTTAAATTAACTATGGAATACCATCACCAAAGCAGGATTATTTGTAAAATATCTCTGCTTTATCAATAACAACAACAAAAATCAAAGCCTATGTTTACATACAGCATAGGCATAAACCTTCTAATTTTCTCCTTAAAAACACGACAGTAAATTAACCAAGATTTTAAAAATTAAGTAGCTCCATCTGCTACTTAGATACACACAGTATCCAGAACTGGAAAAGGTATTTTAGCAAGCACTAAAAAGACCTTAACAGAAGCTTAGCTATTTTCATGGTTAACACTGACTTAGAAGATACTAATTATGCAGGCTTACAGAGCAAAGCTACAGAGGACAGGGTATAAGACAAGGAAACAGCACACACAGACACACTGCACATCACACATCCTGACACAGATGGCTCCTCAGGCCTAGAGCAGACATGTAGAACTCATTCTCAGCATTCCCCACACTATAACCTCTTCAGGAGCAGGACCATTGCTTTGGATAGTTTTATAGACCTAAAAGGTACAAGTACTATAAAGAGTAAATTTTAGTTTTTTATTGCTCAAATATGATCATAGTTTAACATAAGAGAATCATACAGGTTTTGAATCAATCCTATTGGTTCACTAGCCCAAGACCTAACTGAAAAAAAACTATAAGTAAATAACATATATTCTAATTACAGCATTGTATTAATCAAATGGGACAATCTATGGCGGAAAAATATATTAAGTTCTAGGGGCTGGAGACATGGCTCAGCAGTTAAGAGCACTGACTGCTTGCAGGGGACCCGGGTTCGAGTCCCAGTACCTACATGGCAGCTATGAACTGTCTTTAATTCCAGTTCCAGGGGAATCTGAAGCCCTCTTCTGACCTCTGTGGCACTGCATGACATGGATGCATTCACATACATGCAGGCAATACACTCATTAAAAAAAAAATAAAAAGTATTAAAAAAAGAGAAAAATATATCAAGTTCTATGAACTTATGAGACTCCTATCAACTCTACTTTTAACCTATAAAAGAAAACATTATGTAGAAGGGAATAGTAACTCCACTAGTACCCTACCAAAGGGGAAACAGTTTAATCAAATGACTACTACAACTGAAGGATAATCTTTCTTTTTTCAGTTTTTGAAAGCAACAGTGTAATCTCCCAAACGGCATCCCAAAGTCATCATGGGAGCAAAACAAATGGAAAGGACCAATCCAAACTCATATGCAAATAGATTTCTTTTCTAAAGTAGCTTTAATATTGCTCTAAATGACTTCCTGAATCAATAATTAACATTTTTAAATTGCTAGCAAAAAAATAAGCTTTTGGTTAACTCTAATTCTAAATTTCTGAAGACTTATTTACATTCATATTAAAATACATTTCTCACAACGTACATCTCTGCATCTGCTTACTATACTCAGACATGTTATCTGGTCTTATTGACCGCAGAAATTTAATGTACTCGTCACTGTGATATTTTGTCATTTCTTCAGCAGTGGCTTTATGAGGCCTCTGAAAGGAGGAAAGCAGAATGTTAGAATTATCAGACAATACGCACACATTCCCCAATTATTCTTTTCAAATCAATTAGATGGGGAGTAAAATAGATAAATTTCAAAGCTAATCCAAATTCATACATTTGTATTTTAGGAAGTAGTAAAAAACCAAAACTAGGACTAACAAACAAAAAAACTAATTCAAACTCCTTCAAAGCTAGTATCAACTAGGGATTGTCAGTCCTTGTGTTAGTGAAATCAGGAAAACCCCTGTTCATAACTCTCATTTTCCACCATACGCTTTTTGCTCTATATTCACTGATTTTCATCAATGATCACCTAGAGAGACCCAATCTACCTTGAACACTGTTCATTCTAATTTTCCTTTTAAAGCGTTCAATTTCATTTATGTCACAATTCTTCTACAAGGCTTCCCCATTCTCTAAAATGTATCTAAAAGTAAATGATTTATATAACACTGTCTAACACTGTTAACTGTTTCAGGTCCTTGTCTCCTTGAATAATTAAGCACTGTTGTAACTACGTTTTTGTATATATACTGTTTTTACCTACAAAAACTCTTAAGGTGGCTGTTAGAAATTAGGTCATTTGAACTCACATGACTATCATTAATACAGTATTTCACACATCTTATAACCAAATGAATATTTGTAAGATAAACTTTCTGCACAATTCCTCCAACAGTCCAGGCCAATTCCTTTTAATTTCTAAAATTACATTTTATTTACTTATTTTGGGAGAAGTGTACATGCCACAGTACCCATGTAGAGGTCAAAGGACAACCTGTGGGAGTTGATTCTCTCCTACTTCCATGCAGATTCCAGATAACAGAGTCAAGTCCTTAGGCTCAGAGGCAAGTATCTTTACCCACTGAACCATCTAATTGGTCCCCAGGTCAATTCTTTTTAGGCGGCATAGGCAACTCAACCACTACTGTCACAAAAATATTTAGCATGCTAGACAAAGCTATTCAGAAACATGCTAGAACAGGAGGGAGAACTGCTTTTAAAATGAGTAGGAGGCTATTACTCCCACACTCTTAAGTTTTCTATGATCAATAAAACCAAAGGAATTGTTTTCTTTCATTATCTTTTCATCTAGTAAATGCACTTAGTTTTCAAGTACTAGTTAAAAGAAATAGTGCTCAGTATTTGCCAAAAGGAATACTTACATATATTTCCATTTTTCTGTACAAACCATAATTTAGCAACAAGTTATGAGTCATACGAATTCTATGAGGTTTCATGGGATGACCCTGTCCATAATAATAATTTCCAATGTCACCTATAAGAGAAAAGACATAAATTAAACAATACAGACATTTATGAATGTTCAACATTAAAAAGCATTTATTAAGTTGTTAAAAATCAAACCTAGGGTCTGGAGAGATGTTTCAGTGGTTAAGAGTACTGGCTGCTCTTGCAGAGGACCTCAGTTTGATTCCCAGCACTCACATGGTGGCTAACAACCATCTGTGACTCCAGTTCCAGGGAATCCAATGCCCTCTTCTGACCTCCATGGGCAATGCACGACATGTGTGCACTTACATACATGCAGAAATAACACTCATACACATATAATAAAAATGATAAAAAAAAAAAAAGAAACCTAGTGTGGGGGTGCACACCTTTAATCCCAGCACTTGGGAGGCAGAGGGAAGCAGATTTTTTTGAGATCTAGGCCAGCCTGATCTACACAGTGAGACCCTATCTCAAAAAACTAAAAACAACCCGTCCCAAACAAAACTTAATGCTAAAATATTTATTTTCATTTTGCATGTATGTATTTCACCTGCATATAAGTTCACCACATGCATGCAATGTCCATGAAGACCAGAAGAGTATACTGGATCCCTTGGAACAGGAGTTATGGAGAGTTGTTGGTTTCCATCTGGGTGCTGAGAAATGAACCTGGGTCCTCTGCAAGAGAAGCTCATGCTCTTAACCACTGAGCCATTTCTCCAGCCCCACAAAACTCACTTTTAGTGTTCTCTTGTAAATTCAGACACATAAAAATAAAAAATACTCTTCACAAGTTTGGGAGTATGATTTAATTTGTTCAGCCAATACAGCTCCTTGGATGACTTACTAGTGCCCCAGAAATCCCTTACAGTTGCATTGGTATTATGGGACCAAAATGTTCCAAGTCTAGCACAGTCTATTAGGGAAGCTATGGTAAATGAACTTTAGGGTCTAAAGAAAGTTTTGATATACTAAGACAATTTCATGGCAATAAGGATACTGTCTCATTTCTCACGATGAAATAGTTGTCATTCCTAGTCTGTCTCTTAAAAGTAACATCTTGCCAGGTAGGGTGGCACATGTCCTTAATCCCAACACTCCAGAAGCAGATGTGGACAGAGCTCTGTGATTTCAAGGCCAGCCCAATCTACATAGGCAGTTCTAAACCAATGCTACATACACAAAACAAATAAAATGAATATTTTTAGGTAAAGTTGTACTGCTTATAAAATGTTGATGACAAAAGCTGCTGGCTCAGTAGTTAAGAATGCTGGCTGCTGGACCTCAGTTCTGTTCCCAGCACCCACACAGTGGTTAACAATCTTATTCTAGGGGATCCGATAACCTCTTCTGGACTTCCCAGGTACACACAGGTGCACGTACATTCAGGTAAAAACACTCATACACATAAAATAAAAATAAATGTAATAAAATATTTAAATATTGACAGAAAGCTTCTTAAATATGCATTATTTAACATAAGGGGCATTTTAAAAATATTTTGTTTTTATTTTATGCATATGCTTGTGTATGTTATGTAAGTGCACACATGTCATGCAATGCCTGCAGAAAGCAGAAGAGGGCATCAGATCCCCTGGAATTGGAGTTATGGGTTCTGGGATGTGAGCCTGGGTCCTCTGCAAGAACAGCCTGTGCCCTTAACTACTGAGCCATCTCTCTAGCCCCATAAGGGGTATTTTTTACAACAGGCTTTATGAAACAAGAAATGAGAAGTTACTTTTAGTACTGCAGAGCTGATTTTAACAGCTTGAAGTCTTATCTTTTAACAAAGGTTTATACAATAAAAACTGGGCCTAAACTGGTGGCACTCCCTGGAATCTTTGCTACACTGAGGCCAGCCTGGTCTACATAATGAGGTCCATGCTAGCTGAGGCTACAGGGAGACACAAACATAAAACAAAAACAAGTAATAGAAACAAAAAAGGCACCAAACCTCACCAGACTCATACTTAAGACAATAAATCTCTTAAAATCTTCCCTAATAATACCTTTTTTGTTTGTTTAAAGGAAACCAAAACCTAGAAACTTTCCTACTAGACTGTCACAGCAGTCTAACAAATAAACACTCACTTAAACGTTACATAACCAGGGTCTGGTTATGTAGCCCAGGCGGGCAGTGAATTTTGCTACCACACTTGGTGGAACATTCACTTTTTATAAAACCCATCTTCTAATATGACTCAGTCTGTTGGTATAATACTTCTGGTTTATTTAATTTCATTTTTAACACAAGCTCTCTTGTGAAGACAATTCATATACCCAGAACTTCTTAAAAGGCAGGTTATCTCTTTAAAGATGAATGCAAACAACAGAGCCAAGAAACAATTCAGTCATGACTAATAAAAAGGAACATAATATGGACTATAGGTATTTTTATCCAATATTTAGGATCTTTGTCAAAAAAATGAGCAACAGAAACAACCTTTCTATTTACAGTGAGTTACAGCAGGCTATGGTGCTACATAGTACATCTCTGCACTTACCACAACCAAGAGGCTATGACATGAAACACAAACTACCTACTAAGGATCTGCTTTGGTCTGACCTACATGGTGGTTAGAAACTACCTGGTCTCATCAAACTGTCAGATATGAAAACTAATTAGTTACAATATACCATGGATCAAAGTTAATGCAAGAAAAACTCTACCAAAGGAGGCTAATATAGTAAGAATTCTAAAGAAAATCCTATCTTCAATTCCATCTGCTTCAAGAAGCACCAAGAACAAATGTCTCCAATACCTACCACATCTTAAAATCAAGTATTTTAGTTAGTACAGAGAATCCAAAGGAAAGCTTTAGGAATGACTTGCAACATGGACAGGACCTGGACTAATGACTGCCAACCAGCTCACATGTGCTCTTGTGACCTGGGTACCTGACCATGTGGCTACTGTGGTGTGAGGAAGAGACTCTCTATTCTGAACTCACAGGTCAGCAGCCAGAGAAGTCTTGAAGAAAAAGGGAAACATGAAACATCTCAGTCATATACTGTAAGTCGTACGGCACGGAGCACAAGGCTTAGATTGCCAGAATGCTAACTCATGTAACAGTACTTGGAAAAATACTGAGGATAACATCCCAAGTTAGACACAAGGGAAGTGACATGACAAGCACAAAGCTTTTTTGTAGCTTGCATCAGTGTGCTTTAATAATTCTTTATTCACTTTTAAAATCTTTACCAGGCCCCAACTGCAAGGAACTGTGTTCAAACTTTCATTTTCACCTTTCATATGGGGATCTCTTTGTCTCATAAGTCTTGTGGGTATGCACAGCAATGAAATTTACTTAAAAAAAAAAAAAACCTGGAATTAAAATTTCATCAAGACAAATTTGAGAACATTTAAATAGTACTCCGAAATATTTTCCTGGTATTCTAACCATAGGACACATATTCAGAAATTTGGGAAAAAACTGGTGACCAATTAAACTACTGCTTATAAATAATTCAACTGAGGGCTGGAGAGATGGCTCAGTGGTTTAGAGCCTGAGCTGCTCTTCCATAGAACCTGAGTTCGATTTCCAGCACCCAGGTCAGGTGGCTCACAGCAGCCTGAAACTCCAGCACTGCACTCATGTGCACAAATTCAGACATATTCATCTACACATAATTAAAAATAAAATATTGTTTACATTATTCAATTGAAGTATTTAAATCGGTGGAACCAAATTAGATATACAGTGTATCAAGGAAAAAAGGGGGGCATACCTTCAAAAGAGCCTCTAAAGAACCTCCAGGACCATTCCCCCACCTAATTCTCCTGCCTTCCATGGAGCTCCCTTCCCTGGGACAAAAGGCAATGGAAGAAACTTAACTTGGAAAAGCACCTGATTTGGCAGCTGCTGATGCTAATAATATCTGCTTTTTCTGACCTACAACTCCAAGCCGATCCTTCTCTGAGATAAAGTATCTTTTCCCTATTCAAAACTTTTACTGTCTTTTTGGTGGTATTTCTGCGTTCTACATTCTCTATTCTGAAGACAGTCTGACAGCCCTATTTAAAAGAGGAATTCCCACCGTGTCTATAAATTAAATTTTTTTTAAAAAATGGGGTCAAAGGGAATGCTTAAGGGGATTTTACAATTTAACCCACAAAGATGTCAAGAACATCCTTAACTTATAATCATTAGAAATTGATGGACTTTCATAATACAGGTGAGACAGGTATTTTCTCCAAAAGTTTTATGAACGGTGAGTCCTGCAGACAGGATCAAATTAACCAGAAATAATTAAAAAAATAAATACATAAATAAAATTAAGGTAAATAAAAAATTCATTTAGATCATGGTGTAACAGTGACTACTCCCACATCATTAAGGTCATAGTGTATGAAAGAATGACTACTCCCACTGGATTCTGCCTTCTTTGGGATCGCTAATAAGGAAGGATGAGCTATATGAAAATCCAGGTCTTGTCAGTGAGAGAAGCAGCTAAATATGACCAAGGTCTCTTTCTTCATGGTCACTCATAAGGGAAGAAATATAAAGCTCTCAAGAGCAAAAGAAGGTAAATTTGGACATAAGGATACAAAGACATTCCTAGCCTGTATCCATTTGACCCAGAATTGAAAGAAAATTTAAATGGAGAATAATTTTTAAAATAGCCTCCATGAGTAATATGACTATAAGAAAAAGCCAAATTGTCTGCCCCCATTTACAGACACAAGCTAACTAATTGTGGATATAAGCCTTCAAACATCTTGTCACTCCACATACAGGCAGTGAGAAACTCAAGTTAGACAATAGCAAAGGAAGACAATTATGCTTGGCTTCATTCTCCTTGATTATAGGTGCTAACTGCCATATACACATGAACTTATAAAAATTTAGGTATCAAAAAATGGTCCTTCAAAAGCAAGTGTTTTGACTTTTGTCACTTCCCATTCCCAATTTAGGACCCAGTAGATTAAAAAATATTAGTAAATTGTCATGTGCTGTCTGAACTTGCTTAGAAGCTGGCTCTGGGGAAGACATCGGGCCCACCCATTTCAGACCAAGTTTATCTAAAACTGTCCTCCAAATG